TTGGGGGAAGTGGAGGAGGAGGAGGAGGCCCCTCTACGCAGCCTTATTGTTGTTGTGATGTCCCAAGGCATTGCACAAGTTTTTGTTGATGAGCTCTTTATCTTTTTGTCTCCTCTTCTCTCCTTTATTTGCTCCTTAATGTCTTCACCCCCCCCCTCCTTCATTTTTCGCTCATCCAATCTTTCCCTCATTTTGCTCTCATTCTTTTCTTGGCTATCAAATCATTCTCCTTTCACTTATGCCGTCTTCCCGTTCCTTCCTTTCATCTACCCCTTCACTCTGTTTCTTCTTTGCCATTTCAACCCCCTTTGTTTTTATTCTCCTCATTTTCTTACATGTTCTCCACTCTCCCCATCCTATCTGGCCCTGTGGCACTTCAACATTTTCATATTTCTCTGAGTTTCTTGAATTTCTACTTTCCCACAATGTTTCCTCTCTTTTCTTTTCCTTTTTCTGAAGAATCTTTCCTTCATTGTCATCCTGTACATCTGCACACTATTCACTCTTTTTTTAGGCAATTTCCTGTGTCAATGTCCTTTTTTAACTGCACCACCTTCTACGTCTTTTATACTTTTGAATGGTTTCTATTTCTTTTAGTCTTTTAAAATGCCTTCCTCTGTCCCCCCTTTTACTTTGTATTTCTTTCTTTTGAAGCTCATGACTCCCTTTTCTCTTTTCTTTCCATTTCCTCATCTTTGCCTCATTGAATCAGTCATCTCCTCCAACAATGCCGTCTTTTGTTGCACCTTTCCACAATTTCATTCTTACTAAAAATAATTTTTTGGTCTTTGAACCCAGTCTTTCTTCTTTTACTTACTCTCTTCACCTTCACTCCTTTATCTCCTTCTCCCTGTATCTTTTTCTTTTTGCATCTCTTGCTGCCTCTCCTCCTCTTGGCCCTGACTTTCTTTATTCTCTTCTTCTTCATCTTTCTACTGTTCTTTGGGTTTTCTTTAGTTTTTTCCTTCCTGCCTCCCTCAATAACAAGCATTGGATTGCTGTCACAAGTGTCAAACAAACGCTAGAAGAAAAATAAGATGGAGATTAATGTATTTATGTTTCTGTTAAGTCAAACTGCCTCTGTGAACAATCTGAGTGAAGACTTGAAATGCGTGCGACTTGTACTTGTGATGTGATACACTCAGCATGTCCACTCTCACCTGTCTCGTTTGTGTTTCTTCCCACTCTTCTTCTTCTTCTCTCTGCGAGTGGGTGAGGAGCTGCCAAATCTGTTGGAGAGCAGAGGAAGGCATTCATGCAATGACTGCAAAATGAACCGCATTTTACTGCTAACTTCCTCCACAGAGTCGCTCTCAGTTTCTAAGAAAACTGAGGCTGAGATTATCCTTTTGCTCATGATTTCAACACCATCTCCACCCTGATCTGAGGTAGATCGTGAAAATTGTTACAAATTTAATTTCACAAAAACCTAGTTTTTGGGCTGGAAAATAATAGAAGAGGAATAATTTGTGGACACACTCACCGACTCCTTCGACGGCCTGATTTCTTCTTCTTTCTTTTCTTTGGACGAGGTGACGGAGAGCTGCTGGATTTCCTCTTCAGTCTGAATTGGCCGCAGGAAAAGAGAAGAGAAGAGGAGGGAGTGTGAGACAGAAAGGAAGCGATTGCAGTCATAACCATTTTCAGTCTTCCATCTCTGATTTTAGTTACTTGGTGCTGTGCCGATAATGAGACGCTATATGTTTATTTTCTCATTTCCTCGTTCTGTTTGGCTACAGCACAACATTAGCGCAGGAGCGTAGAAACTGGGAATCAAAGACGTTACGCTTGATCTCGTCTACGAGGAGGTGTGAGGAAAATACACAGTCCGGATGACCATCTGCGCTGTGATTCTGCAGCCAGTAGCGCTCACTGTTGCTGTCTGTCTGTTGCTCTTCTGGTATATTTGAAGAGCATTTATATGCTTAAGCTTGAATCTTACGCGGGGAAACGTGGGCTCTTGTGACAAAGACTGAATTGACTCCTGCAGATGTGACAGCGGGGGCTGAAGGCACTACCTGTCGTGGTCAGGGTCTCCGTCTTCATAGCCATCCAGGTCGGGGTCCTCTTCATAGTCGTCAGGCGGATAGTGCAGGTGGTTCACCCTGAGAGAGACACACCATGAGATGAAGGGGCTCTCTCAGCAGCACCTATGTGGGGATTGTTCGGCTTTTGGCTGCTGTTTGCTTTGCCATCGCGACGGCCACATACACAATAGAGGGGGAAACAATGGACCAGCTCATTTTGCCGGCAGCTCAATAACTCACTTCTTCTTGGTCAGAGTGCAGACGGATCGATGGCTCATAAGTCTGATCATCCCCTCTGGCATTAGAAAGGATTCCAGGTAGCAAAGCGCACTGTAATCATCAGGTCATTTTACTCACCAATTAATCTATTTCAAAGAAGAAATCTTGGGTCTTAAGCTGTGAGATAACCTCATACAGACAGCTAAGTGGTTGATGGGACAGCTTCTGTTTCTAATGTTTGAGGGATTGCAGTAGTGTCGTGGGACAGTGAAATATTTTTTTCTCTAAATGGTCCCAAACTCATTTTTAAATAAACAGATCATGAGGCTGCGTCACCATTTCATAGCCAACTATTCCTAACTACCACCAAACAAAACCAAACAGAGGCTCAAGTCAGTCATGATTTTTCAGTTCAACTCAGTTCAGCCTGTTTATATTGTGCTAATCGACCACAAACGTAATCTACAGCTACAATAAACGATAAAGGCGACAAGTTCAATTCGTCCAATTAGAAAATAGTCCAATTAGTTGAGCTTGCACAAGTGGAATTACCCATTCAGGGGTCCCTGAGCAAACCTTTTATTTTTACTGCCATCATAAAGCCCATCTGCCTCTTCCAGGTTTCCCTAATTTGCCCACAAACTGAGTTAATAACCGAGCAAAATAATAATGATGATAATTATTTTTGAGACTCATACATGATCTAAGGTTTGAATTAATATATTAGTCTAATTTTTTAATTATTTTAAATTTCAAAATGGTGTATTTTTCCACAGAATGAATGATTAGCTAGCTCCAGTTTGTCTTTCAGACAGATGGCCGCAATCTCCTCCCTAATCCTCCTTGTTCAGCTATACCGTTGAATACCCCCCCCCCCTCTGATTCGTCTAATCTCACCTTACCATGTCTGAAAACCTATAGCATGCAGACAACACTGATTCTTTGTTCCCTCACCCAGTCGCACCTCTCTGATCATGTAGCATCCAGTCACTGTTAAAAAGTATCTTAACACTCTGCTGACTTTGCTGACTTTTTCTGGGGTTTATTCTCAACCACGAAAACATAAACATAACCCCAATGACTAGTCATGCGACCTGCGTTAGAAGGAGATAAAACGGGGTTGAGGAGTGTGAGGATCCAGAACCATCCATTTGATAAAGGAAAGCATGCCGCAACTTAAGTGAGGAGATCAAACACCAGCGAGCACATATGATGAGTACATTTCTGGTAGGAGAGCAGGGGTGATGCAGAAAAAAGCAGAGCATATGGTGTAACATTTCCAGAGGCAGAGAGCTGCGTCTGTTTGAACAAAGAGTAGGCTGGGAGGTTTGTTAGGAAAACACACGGCAACAGAGCCCTTAATTGGCTGAGCACCGTTGAGCACAGCGGGGAGCCGGAGAGCGGCGGAGAAACCTCCTTTCACCATGACAGACCTTTTCCAGCACATCCACAGAACACGCTCCCGTCCCCGCATACAGAAATGCCTTATTTACATAGACTGAGCCGGACTCTCAGCAACAAAACAGTCTCAGACAGCAGAGGAGAGAAACCAGCTGTAACCGTTTATGTGCTTGAATTAGAGCAAATATAGACCGAAGGGGGCTTCAGATGAAGTAACGAGCGGGGGCTGATGAGACTAACTTCACCACTGCAAAAACCCAGGGAGCCCCAGAAACAAAATGGCAGGAGCAATGCGCAGGAATGCCAGTTCTGAGTAAGTCAGAACGGGAGACATCTGATTATGTGTGTTAATATTATACAGATCCAGGCTAAAGAACAACCAAGCAGCAGATCAACTTTAGAAGAAAATCAAGAAAAAAGAACTACAGAAATGCTTGAAAAGGTGTCAAACAAGTGGTGACTTTATGTCAGTATTTACCTTCAGAGCTTTTAGGAGAATAGATAAACAAAAGAGAACATGTTCATTATGCTGTTTTTTTAAAGCTTCCTGTTGCTTTCCTTTGGCAGATTTGGCCTTCTATAAACAAAAATAATCGTTTTGACCAACTAGTCTTTGTGTGGGTTTATACAGGAAGCGTACAATCCCAAAAAAAGGCGATTAAGAACAATTAAAACTATCTAATGGTCCCCGTGCTCAGTCAGTGGTGATAAATCAACTAATTCCCCGCCCCGTCTCTAATCTCTTAATTGATGCCGCGCTCTAATATGCAGGAGACATCTGTCTCGCCACACAGTGGCCCTGTTAGGCTGATGAGTGAGTGTCGCCATGTTTCCTCACTCAGGCTCTGTCCCTGGGACCTGGCAGTGATGGACTACAACCCAGTCCGTCCTCAGGGCTGCGGCACAAAGTGCTGCAACTCATTCATATCCTCTCTCTGACAGCCACTCAGACGCTGAAGGCCCGGTTATATTTCTGTTGCTGCAGAAAATTACAGTGTGTTATTTTTAGGGAGCGGTAGGTGGAGGACGGATTAATTAATTCTCCTCCTCCGTGCGGGGGCGGATCTCATAGCTGTCTTAAAGTCGTCGCTTTAACACAAAGCAGCGAACGTTAGAGCTGAACCCATCATTGCTGAGGCGTAGATTGTTTAGAGAAATAGATCATTTTACGCCCTGGCGGCAAAATGTCTGTGTCAGGCATTTCATCAGAAGGGAGGCAGCTATGAGAAGCCCAGGATCAGCCACTGCAGGACTACATGTACCGGCCAGAGAGGCCCAGTGGAGCTCCGGGCTCCGCAACCCCTCTCTCACACCTCTCCTACACCCAGCACAGAATCAATATGGACACAAGTAAACAGAGTTATGAACTAGCGCTGGGCGATAAACATCAGTATCGAGATGGATGAACGTACACCGCTAAAAACGTCAGAACTTTCCAATCACAAGTGGGGATTGCTTATGACTGCTGTGTGACGTGAATGAAGGGTTCCAGAAATAACTGAAGACGTGCAAACTTTCTCACATAGAAAGGCTCATTCTGAGATGACCTGGGCTTTTAAACACACTGATGTTCTCGGAGGAGCTCATCCAAGCATACAGCTATTACTTTAATGCCAATGAGTGATGGTGAGATATATAAAGCAACTGTGGCTAAAGAGCCTCATCTGCCATTTGTACTGGTCTTGTGAAACTTTAACAGTGTTGAAAAGTCTTTTAATGAAAAAATCGGAGTAAGTGGTGCTTTAATTCACTTGGTGACAAGATGGACCTTTTCCTAAATACTTTAATATCCATTTATCTCCAAAAAAAGACAATAGTTTGCAATGGCTTGAATCCCTCATGTTTGCCATAGTCTTTTTTGTCATTAAGTTTTCCATCTGAAAGATTTGCTCACAGTTCTCAACTCAGCATAACAGGCTGCCTTGTGAGGATCGTGTACTTTGGGTTTTAACACAGCTTGGCCTGCCCTGTTATGAGAACCATCAGAAAATAGAAGGTGGACGGCTCCACAGTCACATGGATTATTGACTAGCTGACAAACAGGTCGCAGTTTGTTGTGTGTTGCTGGTGGTCAGGAGCACAGGGGCACCACGGGGAGCCGTAGTCTTTCTCTCCGTACAGCTCAGAAATGCTCCAACTCTGCTGTATCAGTAACTGACAGGAGGCAGAGTACAGGGAACCAATCAATCACAATCTCCTCATGCTGAATGTGAAAAATACAGAGGAGAATACTGTGAATTTTAAGCGAATAATGAATAAACCAAATCATTTTATGCTGATAGATGTGGTGGAGGCAGTGGATGACTACCAAACCTGAACATGGCTGTTCACCGTGACAGCAGAGAAAGATTTAAAGAACAATGCAGCATTGTGTCGGGATTTGTGCGGAAGATGGACCCAAATGTAAACAGTAGCCTGGAGCAAGATAGAAGAAATATGACGGGTATTTTAATTAACGCGAAACAAAGGCGCTGCTGAGGTGGGCTAAGAGTACAACAATAGAAATGAAACAATTGAATGAGTTCAAAAGAATAACTGGCAAGATAAATGGACAGAAACTACAAGTAGAAGGCACCTCCAACAACCAGGCTGACAAACATGATAGATATGGGGCAAAATGCTACATATCTACCATAAGTCAGTGGAAAGCACTCATCTGTTGAGGCTGAACAAAGCGAAAGGAGGCCGTTAAGGAGCGGGAATGTTGAGTTCAGAGCCTGAGCCGACATCTAAAACAGACGTACGCTTTCTTTTAGTTGGTAGAAGTTAATTTATTCATCCTACTGTACAGAAGTGTCCAGCTTAACAGCCCTCCTCCACATCTAATCGTGTTCAAGTTAAATGTCAGACACCAGATGAGGAGCAGGGGAGGCAGAATCATTTACTGTAGCGGAGAGGCTGGAAGCATCAACCTCATTACTGGTCACAGGTTCACGGGGAGCGGGTCGGGTCGCCACCATGCCACACCACTCCATCAGTGAGAAGCCCCCCACCCCCCTGCCTGCTGAGGCCATTTCTCATCATTTTAAAGGCTCTGACTGTGGCCAAAGCGAGTGCGCTGTGGATGAGGACTGTGCAGTTTGTTATTTTTCATTTTGACTGCTTTCCTCCCCTCTCTCTAGAGTCAGATGAGGCCCTCTCCCTCCCACCTCGTGCTCAAAGCTCGAGGGAAAAAACAAATGAACAATTATCACGCCAATCTTTGGCTCATTGGCTTCCAGCAGAGTTTAGAAAGAATTTTAAATGCCACTAATTATTTTTTAAAAGCAGCAGGCTTTTTACCATTTTCTGTGTGCTCATGACAAGCAAAAGCAGTCAGAAGCCAAAGAATTGAATTAAAATATTTTGAACATATGCTATTACGATTAACATATCCCAGACAGATGCCAGGAGGGCATTATTACCTGAAGCAGGTAACTTCTCCTGCGCCTCTTTAAAGGAGATTTCGACTTGCATGTAAAATTTGAATTAAACAACAAATTAAATATGAAACATCTGTATTACTTTGTAATTGACTTGTGATTAAAGAAAGATGAATTAGATGGGAAAAGAAAACAAAGAAATGAGTAACTACAAGTGTGTGGAAAAATGAACCTGAATCAGTTGCAGGAAACGTTCCGATTTATGTGGGTTTTATGATGCAACAGGCTCTTTGATGTTCAGAAAAACATTAATAAAAATACACAGAATGATCCTGGTGTGCAGTAACTTACACTGGTTGTGTGTGAGGGCCGTCTCTGGTGATAACGCCCTCTTTGTCCATCAGCATTTGCCTGAAAGTGCTCACTTTCTGCCGGATCTCCTCCTCTGTGTACCTGAGGATAAGAAGCAGCAGCAGTTAGCAAAAAAAAGAAAAAAAGAAGCCCACATTCATCAGTAATCCACATCCGCAAACACACAAACTTAAAAAAAAACAGCTATGGATGGGGCAGACACTGGAGCGGAGCTGTCATCCCTTCATCCCAACAACTGGAAAAAGCCGCCCTCTGATCGTGTCTTGACCCAAAACGGCGCTCAGCCAAGAGATGCAGATTCTGGTGACTCACTGTCACCGTCAGCCCCGGGCGGACCTGCACAACATGCCATGTTTTATTCTGCCAGCGAGAGCTGTATCCTGCTGAGCCGAGAGGATCTGTGGGGCAGCGTGAGGAGCTCTCGACAAGCTGACACCGACATAATACTGCAACCCACTGCAGAGGCACACAAAAGAAACGGCTGGCCTCGGACTCGGTAATCTACCGAGTCGATTCGCACAGCAGCATTTTTTAAAGTTTTTTTTAGATCAGGGGGTGTTCTTGTTGTGAGATGGTGCAAAAAATAAGAGGAGGGGAAAACCGATCTGTTATACTATAATTTCTTAACGGTCCAAAACAAAACAAATGACTCACAACTGGCACGCGTTCAGCCCCGGGCAACATCCTCAAAGTCTGTGAATAACACAAGCAGAAGCTGTCAGGGGCTGTCACAGCCAGAGCGCTGACAGCTCTGCAACAGAGATGGCAATAATTCAACCAGCCTGTCCAAACAAGTCCGGCTCTATTCTGGAGATTCTTATAGGGGAGCTGTGCTCTGTATACCAATGTGCTGATGCATTTACAACCTCCTCAAACCTTTTCAACACTCTGAACTGATGAGATTTCACAAGCAAAGTGATACATATCCTGAATTTATATTACAGTATTATAAAGAATATAGCATTTCAAATCAATTTGCAGATCTGATCTTTGATCTTTTCTTTATAAGTTAGCTTCCGATGGCTTTCTGATGTGACAGTACTCTGTTTATTCCTTTATTTGGCCCTCATATCCAGGATTAATGCACCTCTTAAGGGATCCAGTAATCAGTGGAGAGCTGTGAAAGTCTTCATCTTCCTTGACCCATGATCGGGTATCATTATCTGCTCTGTATGCAAATGTGCACATCTGACTGGAAACGGCAGGAAATCGATAGCCCTGAAAATGTTTCTGCAATATCCCAAATTAGAACCAGAGATGGAACAATCATATTATAGATTTAGATTTATCTGACACAAATGAGATCTGCCTCGTTTCTCCTTCAGTAGTTTACAATTCACAGCTACACAATAAAAGCAATTTTGACAAAGAAATCTGAGAAAAACAATGTGTTTTATTAGTTCTGTTTGTAAACTACATATCTTTATAATAACATCTATCAATAACATATCTATAAGAATATTCTTCATGCAAAAATGTGAGATGAAAAGGTATAAAATTCCTGAAACAAAGGGAAATTCTTCACAAACAGAAACTTTAATACCTATTATACTTTTATAAATTGAATAAATCTTATCCATCAGCATAATCGAGCCTTCCAGGCTGCCATTCGTTTTCATACATATAAGCCAAAAATGAATAGGAAACCCTTAACTGGTGGGAGTGGCTGATATTTAGGTTTTTTCTTAAATTGTTATATTATATATATATAAGTATATGTATATATATACAAAAAAATGTTATGTATTGTTTTGGTCATTTGATAATTTTTTTTATGAAAGAATGTGCTCAAATTGTTATGGTTCAATTTCCTGTTAGTTATTTGAGATAAGAGATTAAAGCTGGAACAAGTTTGCCTGGTTTGCAGTGAAGGAGGGGCGGTCGCCCCCCCTGCTTCTGGCAACAAATTCTCCTTCCTGCTCCTCAGCTGCGGCTCATGGCCGGATCACTTCCATAAGCCGAGTTGTAAATGAACCCGCAGCTCATATCAGCGTGGAAATAGCATTAGTCTGAGGGGAGTTTGCTTTTCTCAGATTAAAAATAGCATTTGATACCACATATTCGGTGGTGGTTGCTATTTGCACATTGATGGTGCGGAGAATGAGATTAAGAGGAGGCTGATGCGGAGCGGAAACAGCCGGAAGATGGTCCGACAGGGAGGAAGCCAGTCGGTAAATGACAGCGCCATCAGGTCCTGCTGTACGCCAATCTCTCAGCCCAGCAGCTGTCTGCTCTGCACAATGAGGGTCCGAACACTTTATATTCATGGCTTTCCATTCACAGCGCTAGAGCCATCGCTATAGATTAGCTGCTGCTCCTCATCTCTGCCGCAGCAGCTGTTTTATGTGGACCGAGGAGAGGAACACAATACAGGGACCACTGAATGGTTCTGGCCCAACAAAGGCGTGCCTGTAAGGCTTTTCTCCTTCATGTTTTGCCGAATATAGTCGGGGTGTTAACATTAGCGGCCGTTTTAACATATCCGAAGCAAAGGAAGACACCTCACAATTTGTGAAGTGCCTATTGAAATCCAATCTCCAGAATGGCACGATCCCCCCCCCTCCGCGTCCCTCTGAATGGCTGGATTCTCAAACCCAGCACAGCGTGAGGCGCGGCAAAGTTCGGTCGTGTCTGATCTGCCTATCTCACAAAACAAAGTGGGAGGATGTATGCCCAGCAGAGATGCTGCTTTGACAAAGAGCCTGCAGCTCAGGGGGAGCGGGCTGTGACCAGCCTGACAGCCCGCAGCAGCAGCCTGCCAGAAAGCAAAGAGAAAAGCCTCCAGCTTCCTTCCTCTGCCACGGCCCAATCTTCTGCGGGGAATTCAGATGGAAGTTACACGCTGCACGCTGGAACGACACACCCCTCCACAGCAGGTTTAATTAGCACTTCCCATCGCTGTAAAGGTAGCAGCACCCCCCCCCCCCCGCCAGAACGCACCATCTGGTGGGCCTGACAGAGCTGAGGAGGAGCGGATTCAAGATTCAAGCCGGCCCCAAAAACAAGGCTGCGTGTCTCTGAACTGTGAAGTGTTTAACTGACTGTTTCTCTGTATATTTTCATATTTGTGTGTGTATATGCCTACGAGGGACTGTTAGCAAACCGTAGTTATCTAATTGGGGCCAGCGAAGGCCGTTTAGCTGGGGCCGGCTGCCTGCAGCTTGTGGAGTCCCGGGGATTCAGGGAGAGAGGCAGAGGGCGGCGTTCTGAGCCGAGGTCCTCCATCCAGCTGTGGCTGTGAAAAATCACCACTATTACAGAACTTGATTGGAGTAATTAGACAGCTCTGAGCATGCACAGATTCCCCCATTAGCTCACGGTCCGGGAAAATGAATAGATTTGGCCCCAAGACCATCCTAATGGTAGCAGATATCGATTCCAGGATAGGGCCGTGTGTGGGGCTTATTCTAATGTGGCCGTGACGTCCACAAGGAGCTTTCTCTCCCCGAGTTGTCCTCAGGCAGTGCTGTGCACATGTGAAATTTTGGCAGGAATCAATCCTGACTGAAAGAGCAGAAGGAAGTGAAAGTGAGAGCGTTTCTGTCAGCAAACCTCATTAGCTGCACATCACTTTTTCACGGGCAGGATTTAAAAAGTCCTGCCGAGGCCTGTTAGCTCTCCAGAGGAGAGCTTCTTCACTCCATGCTCTCCAGGCATAGATTTTCTGGCCCGGCTGCTCGATACTGAAAGGAAGAGAGCGCCTACGCTGCCTCTCCTCTTTGCATGGCCATCTAAAGCTGGAGCAGCACGATCCACCGCTCGTGCCGGTTTACTTTCAGAGCCACCTGAAGGTGTTCAGCCCGGCTATGAACCTCTGGGTTGTTTTTCTTTGCACTGTGCCGATCTGTGACAGAATGGGTAATCAAAATGTTCCGTTTTCTTTCTGTGTTCTCATAGAGCAGCCTTTGGTGTGCTGAGAAACCTCCATCAGGGCAAATACAGCTGATTCCTCTGCCCTTCAACACTCTGAGAGCAGCCCTATTAATACAATTGTAGCTTCTCACACTATATTTCCCGCAGTCTGAAAGCTATCAGGAGGGAGCATTTAGCTCTTACTCCCACAGCCTTCAAAAATATTGACTTCTGTCTCGCCGTGTACACGTACTCCGATGTAAAAAATTTGTAATATGCTTTTTTATATGCTTAAACTGGTCTTAACCTTCAACTGACGATCATGTGTTTAAATTGTTCTTATTCAACTGTGTCTCATCACATGGGTCTAAGGCAATGTACCTCCTTTTTATAGGTGCACCACATCTCTGTTAGGGTGTGTGTGAGTGTGTTTGCATGTATTACGGGAGACATAAATGTTGAGTTCACGTCTTTTTAAGGAGGACCGGAACATCCTGCAGCTTAGTCTGACTGAAGCCCCACGAAGAGAGAGCTCATTAAAGGGCCTTAACAAGGCTCACACATCACAGGAGTTTAAACCATGCACAATCACTATGCCTCAATTAGCTTTGGGGGAAAAAAAAAAAAAAAAAAAAGCTTGTAGATTTTGGACCCTCGCACGTTCTACAGCCGCTGGACTGGAAATCAGCCACTGGGCCGTGTTGTGACATCCAAAGCTGTTTTCGAAACTGTGCAGTGTTACGACAGCAACAAAGATGCCCTCTCATCCAAAAGGCCACTCGCACAGATCATTCATAATGCTCTTATGACAGACGTCCCACACAAACGGCCTGCTATTCGTAACCTCCAGCCTGCTTCGTCCATTTAAAATGGCCGTATTCCCAGCAGCAGTGAAGCACTCAGTGGACAAATGACCGAGGCAGGCTGCCAGGCTCTGGATTGAGAAATGAACAGACTTCCTTAATTGCTGAGGCCAGTTTAATTGGCTCCCATGGTGAGGCCATCACTCAAGACAGGCCATTTATCCCGGTCTTTTCTGGGGAGGAGGGGAGTGCCTGCAATTCCGGTGGAGTGGAGAAGGTGGCAGGCGGCCAATTTGCCCCCTCTCTCTTTCATACAAGCCTTCACCTCAGCCCCAATAAGGACCAAGAGCAGAGAAGTGGACGCTGAGCTAACAACAAAGGAAAACAGTCTGTAGCCCCCCATCTCAGTTCAATCTAAAGCCTGCCGCTGCTCTCCCGCTCCATCCCGGTGTTTCATCCACTGCTGTATCCCTTAACCCCGCACGCACGCTTTAAGAAGCCCATTAGGAATCAGCCAAACTGGCAAATGAGATTCTTCTTTCATTGCAGAGGTTAGCGTTTGAAATCTTTGGCGTGCGAGTTCCTGCCAGCTTGTGGGGCTTGTGGCGTCTGAGGAGAGTGGAGCCGGTCAGCGAGGGGCGTCTGCTCTTCTTTGTGTTCTGTCATGATCGCCCGAGCTGTCGCCTGGCTCTTTTGCATCCCTCTCAGCACCCAATATCTCCACCCTTTTTCCCTGCTTTCAGCTCCATTAGTCTTCAGCCGGCCTACCACCACCAGGCAGTCCTAATGAGACTAGGTCACCTGACACCCGTGGTCGTTCTCAGGCAAAGACCAGCTCCACCTTCTGTCTGACACAGTCCGCTGCCTCCCCGTAAAAGCTGCCTAATTAGGTGGACTTCAACTTGTTCAGCCCCCCCCTCCCTTGCATATCGAGGATTAGCGATCTTTCTGTAAATCATAAACGTGATGTGAGCAAAATGTCAGCCGCTATCAGTGGAAAGGGGAGCGTTCCCCGCGCTAACACCGGATCACAGGGCTCTCCATTAATTATGGTCTCTGCCAAGCTGGACGCTGCCGACGAGATTTAGATGTTCAACCAGTGTGTGTGTGTGCGTGTGTGTGGAAGGGTGGGGGGATCCACCAGGGAGAAGCACCGACATTGTGTATTAAGGGTGCCTGAGGTCTTTACAGTTTCAGTTTCTCCTCCTAACTTTGTGCTGGATTCTAATTAGAGAGTCTATGGCGAGCTGACCTGTGTTCTTCACTTCCTGTCCCCCGGGTAACATCACCCATAATTGTTACTTGAAGATAACGGCTCAAACGCTGCCTACGCGGAGCATTCGGCGCCACGAATGAGCAGGATTAAATTCTACCTTTCCCTTTCAGAACGTGTAACTAACTACCTTTTCCAAAGCTTAAATTCAGAAAAGAAACAGGTTTTGTGACTGTTGCACATGCTGAAACGTCCCCGGGTGCTCTCACTTCCTCCTAGCTTGGAAATGTTGTGAAAACACCTGACAGAAACAGTGCTTTTCCAGCCCGGATCGGAGATGAGGACGTGTTCCCTCACGCGGCTGCTCGCCCACTCATTTTGACTGTGCTCCCTGGCCAATCAGGACGCACCCAGGGCTTTCCCAAAAATACTCCTGATACTGATCTCGCCCTTATTTCAAAGATAACAGCCACCTCCCACACAGGACAGATCACAGCTGCATTTCCATACCACAATGACCGCGTTACAAAAACATTTTCTTCCAATAAAAAAAACAAAAAAAACCTTTTGACATCCTTTTTTTCCCCACAGCTGCTTGTTTTTCCCTTCCCTCCCACAGCTGAGACGAAAATGGGTTTTGGCAGGTAGCAGATTCTGGATTGGGGGGTTGTGGGCTGCGTTTGATGTGAGCAGCAGATATCCCAACGCCCGCCATATCCCAACTGTTCACCTCATTCTAAATCTGTCCCTTCCATTGGTTAGCTGTAGGAGACTCCATTCACGTTGCGGAGCATTGATGAATCACGCTCACGTTAGCATTCCCTGACACAGCTCCCCCCGCCCACTCCAAGCCTTCAGTTCATCTAGATTCTCCCAAACACTGAGCAATACCGGGATTCTCTCCCCTCAAATGTGTGTTTTCTCTGCACCCAAAACCATCCAGCTCTGCGTCGGCCCCGCTGCTGTCAGATCCACTCACCCATTCCAGTAAGCTGATCCCTGCTAATAAGACCGGTTTTAAAGAGAAGCCCGGAATTGTAGGCAGGAGTGGCCGGAGGCAAGAAGAATATTTGGATTACGGTTTTTACATGAGAGGATTTTTGGCTCACTCCATATATTTCAACATAGCTGTGCACGTAAGCTTAGCCAGCATCAGGACTCTACGAAAGATTTCTGGGCTTCATTACACCTGAAGAACCTAAATAAGGAACTTTTCTCTGAAAACAGACATGCAACATGACATAAATTCCTCATTAAAACTTACTGCGATGTGGCCGTTCAAGCATTTCAAACTGAATAAAGTTTGATCAATTGTATAGTTTACATGTTGTTTTTTTTCATAAAATAGAACTAAAGCAAATCTCTATTGGACCTCTATTGGCGTTGTTATGAATAACAAAAAATTGAAGAGAGGAAGAGGAAATAATTTGACATGAGGTTGAATTTTAGGACAAAAAAACCTTCAAACACATCGTTACATAACTAGCCGGAAACTTTAGGGAAAGTTTGGGCAAATTTTCTTCCCTCTTTCCAGGCTCTGGAGCTTTGGCTCCTCCTCCCTGCTGCCTTACAGTATTTAAAGTGTTACTGCTCAGGGCTGATGGGGCTCCTAAAAGATCTCTGGTTTCATTATGTGTCATCTACTTCTGGCTCAGTCCCATTTCTGTGACGAATGCCTTAAACTTTAATGTCAGATCTGTGCCTCCTCGCTCACATGGACTCTCCATCACTGAGCTCACCGCAGCTCAAACTAAGAGGACATCAGCTCCACTGCTCAGTAGAGATGTGCCATCTCTGCTGATTCAGTATCCTGGAGCTCGGGCGTGAGCAAAGCGAGGGCTTTGTGAGATCATGTCAGCTCGTGTGCCTTCAGGGCCCCGTAGTTTTGACTTTGTTATGAAGCCATTTAGCTTTCATATTGAGCTCCACCTCTATTTTTAACCAATCTGTCCACAAAAGCTTCCAAACTTGCCTCAACATCACCCCAAGCTGGTGTGTAACTACATTTGGTGGGTGAAGGCATTTGACCAAATGTCAATTTCTCATTTTTAATCTATTTTTTTTGCCCGAGGGAGACATCTGGTTCTTCAACTGCTTTGTTCTTTGCTATTTCAGCAGGCTGGAACCAGCTAGTAATAAACTGTTTTTGTTGTTTGATGCTGAGAGGGAAAAGAACGATTTCAGGGGTCACAATGAAAACAGATGCCATCTTATAAACAGCGTGTGAGAGAAAATTCCCTATAATTGACTTGGTTATTAAATTTACGGTTTGGTGGCTTAAAATATTACTTGAAAAACATAGACTTGCACTCATAGCAGTTCTTATGTCTTGATAATGTGGTTTTGTCTGTTCCCTCATAATCTCTAATGACGCTTTCTAAAATAATTCCCCCTCTGACTGTGTGGTCCAAATCATTTGTAATCCTGTCTGTTATTACAGGAATTTCAGAGCTGGCTGTCGCACCTCTGCTGACCTCCATTATTATCATCTTCTGGTGAAATACCGGGAGATGATCAAAAGAAAAAATAAAGAAAAGAAAAATATCTAAAATACCTCTAAAACAAGCTTAATACCAGCACACAGGCTGGGCTACATAGCACACTGCTCCAAAGCTGCATTTTCAGTTTGTTTATAGATTCCGCTGCACTTTTTTCTGAATAAATCTCTTTCAGGATCTGGAGTGCTATACATTCAGGAGTTTATTGTCTGTAGGTCTAATATGATTCATCCTCTTACCCCTGTTCTTCCATCATCTCCTGGAGCTCCATGCATTTGAGCTCCACCCTCCTCTTCCTCTCATGGTCCAGAATCTCTCTGTGTGGCTTCTTCACCAGGACAGGCTCTGCTTCGGCGTCCTCCTCCTCCTCCTCCTCCGTGCCCGGCTGGCCCTCCTCGCTTTTAGCCTGAATCGCCGCGGTCAGCGTGGGCCCGCCCGACGCCGCGGCCGCTCCCGGCTCTGCTCCGGACACCACGGGCTGCGCCACACCGTTCGCGCCATCTTTGGGAGACGGCACCCTCGTTGCATCGTACATGATCGCTTAAATCTGTAGAAACACAAACAGAAGGTTAGCAGGGAACACTGGACTTTTTGTTATGATAAACATACGGAACATTTAAAAATATCTGTATTAAAGCCCTGCGTCATAGGTGACACCTTCAAAAAAGCTGTTGTGTTTCTCTACATTAGCAATCACACACAACAGACATACAGAGCCACTCTCTGGGCCGTCAGACACTTCTGAAATCCCTTTGAGCATTCCCCACACCCAACATGAGAGGGGAAAGAGGGATGACACCAAGAAGAGGAAGATGTGCAAAACGGGTGAAGAAAACAGGTGACACATGAAAATGAGGAATGAACAGACTGGCCTCTAACTCAGACTACACGGACGCTTTGTTTTTGACTTCTTTAACCTTTCCGTTTGTGGCTTGTTAACTCGCCAAGTGATGAGACTGTCACTTTGTTGGATAAGAAGCCGTCTGCTACGAGTGCTGCGTGGATCCTGCCCTGATCAAGACGGATGGTTCTCTTACGGTCGGGGGTAGAGAGTGTGGCGAGGGAGGAGGGTTTTCTCTCGCCGACCGGCCTCAGGTTGCCCGGCCCCCCCCCCCCCCTTCCCTCTGAAACTAATGGCTTTGGTTTGGTTTTCACAAAGGGGCCTTAAAAGACGGGCCGGTGCACTTCATCACTGTCAACCGAGCGGAGCGGAGTCAGGACGAGGAGGCTGCGGCTGCACCAACGACCTCCAGAAAGCCCCCCCCCCCCCCCCCCCCCCCCCCCCCCCGTGCTGCGCTGTGCAGCCATCCAGTTCTGCGCTCCTCGCCTGCTCCCGCTCATCTTTGACTGCTTAATCGGGACGCGATTGTGTTCTGAAGTGCCGCGCGCTGGTAAACGAGCCGTGCATGTGTGCACAGCCAGGCCGCTATTGGCTGACGGAACAGGTGGCAGGACAGCAGGAGGCATCATCTCTGAATCTATTATACAGTAAATCAGCACTTGATATTCAGCGACAGCAGCCCCGAGCTGCGCACGCTCGTCTGCAGGAGCCCGTGCCGAGGAGAGCTCTCATCCATCAAAACAGACTTTAGAATGACATTCAGGTGGGCTGAGGATCAGTAAAAAGGCTTTGAGCGTGAGAAAAAAGGCAAACATGTGCTGCGTACGAACCACGGAATGATTGGAGCCACATATGATGCTTCCCCCGCCTGAAAAAGATAACAAAAAAATCTTAAAGAAACAAACATCTAATCGTTTAGTTGAGAAATGCCATCAAACTAGATGAACTGATGTTAAAAATGAGCTGCTACTCTTCCAGATCCCGTGTATTTGGCCTCACGACACACAAAGTGGTCAAAGATAACCTAAAGCTGGACTTTCCAGATAATTACTAAGTGTGTTGTGTAGGCACAGCGGCCAAATACGCACCCGGCCAACCGTGAAGGGCCGGTTCAGCTGGAACAAGCTGGAAATGAGTGCACAACTCGTCTGAAATTGGGCGGGAAACACTCCACAGCGAGGGCCATAGGGGTGTACAGACACGTCAGACACGGATGAGCACAAAATCCCTTAAAATTAAAACAACTGAAACATTTTAATTGTGTCCTGAAAAAGTGTGTGTGTGTCTGGGGGGGTTAGGGGGCTTGTCAGGCAGCCGATAAGGCAGCGGAGAACACAGCTAATTGTATGCTAGTCCTCCACGGGGACTGAAGGTTATCTGGAGCCGCTGAATTAATGCTGCCAGCAGCTTTTTCTACTATTATAGCCGGGGCGTAGAAGAATGTCACATCAAGACAATCAGCGGCTGTAATTACGCATTATGCCGTGTGAAGCCGCTCAGCCACACGCAGGCGGTCACATAATAAGCTATTTCAAACTGAGAGGCGATAAGATCCTTTTTGGGCGTTGGACATCTTGTTTTGGGGCTCCGAAGAGAAGCACCGTTCTCCACCTCTGCTGCTGCCGCCTGGCCTCCAGCCGGAGAAATGTATCACCACTTTCTTTCCATTTCTCTAAATCCTGTTCATGTGGAACTCGCCTGGCTTTGAAAAGGGAATTTGAGGCTCTTTTCAACATTTGTGGCCACATTTGCTCGAGTCAGGGACAAAGTGTTGAATCAGAGCAGACAGAAAACAAGCGCTCCCGGTGCAGCTATGGGATTTTTTTGTTTTTTTTTGCTTAGGTGACAAACAAATGACCGTGAGGACAAACGAAGAGAATAAAACCATCCTCAAATCAAAATCTGATAAAATACCAAAGTTCCAGACATCCAAAAGAGCTACTGTCACAAAGCAGGTGTGAGCAGGGCTCTTTAGACCATCACAGCTCCCTGCGTTTGGCAGATTCCCGGGGACCCGTTCTGCAGTATGCTCATTACAGACATGGATTTAAAAATAAAATAAACTATTTTCAGCCTTTGTGGAAATCTGGGTCACACAGTTTCTGACCCGGAACATCTTTCAGCAAAATTTGCATGACGTTTCCACCCGATCACACAGTCTAAGCTGTACTTTGTCGCAATGGAAAACGCGGTAAACGTTTGGTTCTACATACAGACTGAAAACTCATTTTCTCCTTTTCCTTTCATTTGAAAGATGTGAAGCAGCTCTAGATTTATTCTACAACATCTGCTTTATGCATTTCAGTGTAATTATGATTAAATGCATTTATGACATTATAACAACAACTCCTCAGTGTTTGTTTCTTCCTTCTGTCCTTTATGGACTCTGTCAATGCCAGTGGAAAATACACACCTCCTCTTTACACTCTGCGTCAGAGCTTATAAACAGAAGGGGAGTACTTAGAGGGGAAATATGGGTTTGCACAGCAGGACACACACACAAGCCTCTGAACATTATATCCAGTCATGATCGACCTATAGAAATACTGACCGCAAAATACTGGAGGAAGCAATGGAGCTGAGTCTTTTAGTCAAGGGGAGAAGTGTGAGAAAGCAGAGGCGTGCTCCAGTGTCAGCCGAGACTCCAAAAGCTGCTACCTGTTTAAGTGGATTCCACCTCAGCAGCAGAGGTAAAATAAGATTAAAAATGGGGCTGGTCTCTTAGCGGCTAAAAGCTCTCTCGCTGCTCCCCTCCAATACATCTCCTCTCTCTCGCAGGTCACAATCTGTCGTGCACCGTGATTGGATCTCATTCGGCGGCGGATGCACCTCGGCGGTGATTGCAGGGTGGCAGTAACAGGGCCCTGACCTTGGTCCAGACGGGCTGGGAGTAGCTGCCAAACACCCAGAGTGGCTGTCTGCTGCTGGACATTACCAGCAAAAGCCGCCTGCCTACTTCAGCCTAATCGCTCCTGCTTTCCCCCCCCCGCCCAAAGTTGTTTTGTTTTTAGCACTCCGGCACCCTGAGGATGTCTTCAGCTCTCACAAGGTCGCCCGTCTTTATTCCAGGCACGTCGCCGGGTGCCGGGAAACAGGCGACCTCAACTGTTTGTTCTTCGGGATTCATCCCCCTTTTTGTTTCGGTTGTAACGGGATGTGAAGCAAATACAAAATGAGAAACTCCACATGAGAAGAAAGGCTGAGGAAGACGTGCGCAGCAGTGAGGAGCGGCACGCCTTTTGCTCATCATGACTGCCGTCTGTTCCCAGACGGTTTTACGCGCAGCACACTCTACCATTTAACCCACTCGGTGGAGGAAGCCAAGAGCAGATGGGCAAATGGCTGCAGGATTTTGCACAATTCCTGAGACAGCTTTTGGAATGGCAAACACCTCCCCTCTCAGGTGGGGGAGGTGGGGTAGGAGCCGTGCGGTAAACCCTCGTGGCGCTCCAGAGGAGAGCCCTTTAGGCACCGTTTGAATCCCAGAAAACAACTAAACGCCTCGCATACAAAAACTCTAAACAAACGATAGAGACTTTAGTGGAAAAGTCCCAGAGACAGACATGAGCCACCGCAGCCCATTCAATTCTGAGTGAGCTGCGTTTAGGCTGCTGTTTCTACGGCGACGTCTGGGCGTGGAGACGGGGTTGGTCGGCGAGCTGACAGCCGGGACGGGGAGCTGAGTTTGCAACAGTCCGGTCTGCTTGTTCGTAAACTCAGTTGTTTTGAAATGTGTGAGAGAAGATTAGCATGGGGCTGGCTGATGTCATTAAGGAGGTCAGAGATGGGCTCAGGTCTGCGTGTCTGAGCGGCTCAAAGGTGGCATTTTCCCCTCCGAACTGAGCAGAAACCCAACAAATGCAGGCTTACTGATTCCAACTCCTCTTTAATTGCTTCTCCAATCTCTGCAGCACAGAAGCTGCATCTCCAAAGGCGGGGCTAAATAAATAAGCCTGAGCTATGATTCTCTAGAAGATGACAGGTTCGTTACCATCTCGATCTGGCTTTTAGCTGCTGTGACAAATATACAGGGGATTAAATTCAAATATCTATGCAAGTGGGGGGAAAGTAGCTCAGAACTGTTTGTGACAGCTAAGTGCACTGTGCGCAGTTATGATCAGAAAATACTACAAAATGTTGTTAATGAGCTAGCATTGGCTGAAGATGAGGCTTTCAGCTCTAATTAAGGAAGAACATGCATGCAGCTAACTGTGGAACTGGCCCTGTTCTCTGACTCCAGCCCGGTTAAGTTACGCTGAGCACTGACATCAGCAGACAAGCTCAGCCAGCGTTAATCTACTGGGAGCGCATGAGTCACACATTCACATCCCTGTTCTGCAGAACGTTTACTGAAAGAAAGAAAAAAAGGGTCCATCTCAGAGTCCGATGGTGTGTGCAGTGTAATGAGGACTGCAAATGAAAAAATAAATTCCACAAAGAGCTGGACTTTGTAACAGACAGTAAAAGACAAGTGAGGCCTTTGAAGAAATCATTGTTGCTATTCTTTTAACCGATGTCCACAAGAGTGTGTCTGCATGCCTCACCCTAACCATTATACAAAGTTCAAGATATGTGCCTTGATACAGATAGATGCTTTTTTTTTCTGAACCTTTTCCAAAAAGCTTTCAATAAAGACCTCCCAGATGGCTCCATCTTAGCTCGAGGCTACTGCGGCCCCAGCCAGATCCACCTCTGACATGGGGAGGTCCA